TACAACTTAAAACCGTAGCATGCAACACTCCTGACAATTCCAAGTAATCTGCTCTACAGAAAATACGAAACAAATGGCGCAAAATCAAACGTGCATCAGTGCAAGTTGCAGAATTTCGAAGGAGAGTACCGCCAAGTGATATACAACAAGATTAAAAACGCTATCACCTCCAGCAATAAGCGACAATCCAAGAAAAACCGATCCAGGACAAATATGCGAGAACGTGACAGAGGTATCGACGCGAGAACGATTTTCCAGCATCTGCAGAAGACGCCTAAAGCTGATAACAGCCGAATGGGCCACCCATTAAGTGGAAATTTAAAATCGGCGGAGAAAAAAAATGACCTCACTGAGTTTTGCTCTGGGATTTAAAACTTCCAACCAAAATTACACCCTGCATCACAGTGTCCCAATAACCGGACCAAAACGCTGAGAGATGCTTGATGTCACGCACCCCATCGCATACTGCGCCATATCATGCCAGAAAGACGAACCACGAGTGTGGCCTGCCAACCATCTAAATTTTGCTCACAAGCAAAAATTTCGAACTTGAAAAAATGGGATTTTTCGAATAACTTTAAACACTGGAAACTCACATTCCCTCGTAACAATTAGTTTTTGAGAATTTCGAGAAAAAAAAACTACAACAGAGAAGCGAAATCAGAGCAGTTATAATCTAGATGAACTGAGCTTCTAATTCTGTTACCTTAAGGTGGAAACTTCAGTCATAACAACAAACTGGTGAAGTTGTACACCTCAATCACAAAGCGCAATTTTGCACAGCCCAAAAGCACTGAAAGAAATCCGTGAGCACCGCGGAAAAGCAACTAAGTGCAGCGCAGTTAAGCTTAACAACAGAAGAAATTAAGTGTAAAATGAAAGAAGCAAGCACCCCGAATCAGCAACTGTAAGAGCAGGCCGAGCAGAATCACTGAGTACAATCACAATCAGTAAAGTGAAAAAGACTGATCACTGATTTGGTGCCCGTTCAGTCTGCCAACAATATGCTTCATCTACCTGTATACCACCTCGCACGCTGCGCAAATATATCGCTGCGAAGATTTTGAGCAAACAGTATACCCAGAATCTAAAAAGTGTCCAGATTATGATGGTGCATAAGACATCATTCTTATCAGAGTGGTGTGAAGAAAGAACAAAGGCTGGAACGCACCAGGCGAGCCGGTGCGATCATGCGTTTTTGCATCAAAACT